AAGAAACACTCGACGGGTGTACCCGACGTAACTTAATTGGCTCTACGCGACATTCGTGCGTACGACGGCGACGAATGGTCGAGAAATGGAGTTCACGGTTAGCGATTGTTTTCACGGAGACCGGAGCGTGTTCGTTATCCGAGTGCAAACGGGATCCCAGACGGAGACGGAAGGCCGATCTCTTTACGGTCGATCGGTTGACGGTCGTTACAAACTGGGGATTGAGAGTGGCCCTATCCGGGCAAAACCACGCGTTGACCGATTTCAGGGCACGCGGCGTGGGCGCAAGAGGGAGAGAGAGAGAGAGAGAGAATGGGGGAGGGGGACGGATTGTCACGGGTAATATGCCTTCGGGACATGTTCGCCCGCAAAACGCAAAAAGGAACGGAGTGGGAACGCTGCGGAGAGTCCATCCAATCCGTTCGCGTACTGCATCGAATGATGGAGAAAGAGAAAAAGAGAACTGCGAACGCGATGAAGAGGGAGAGAGAGAGAGAGAGAGAGAGAGAGAGACAAAGGGAAGAGAGAGAGAGAGAGAGAGAGACGTATTGGCCTCGTCAAGCGGTTTCAGGCTTGCCGATACTCCGGGCGCTTCTCGTCGACCCTTATGAAGCCAATTACACTTCGCCTCGCCAAAGGCACCCCACTTATACCCGCGCCCGGCGTTCCCCGGGCTCTCTTGGAGCCGCGATCGGTTCCGCGGCACGTACTAGTTACATTAGATACCGATGTAAAAGCGATATACCCTGTCCGTTATTCAAGCCGCGATAGCCACGTACGTCATAATTCTACAGCTTGTTATCCGGCTGATTTTAAACCTCTCTCTCTCCCTGGTCTCTCGCGCATTTAGCAGAGATTCGGTCGCCCGAGCACTCTCGCTGGAGCTTTCGTGTTTCGAAGGACATCTCGTCCCGCGCGCGCTTCAATTCGTCAAACGTATCATTACTTTCGTTTGACGGGACACAGTAATAGATATTATTCAGCGCGGCGGGGGCGGAGATGGGAGGGGAGGCGGCGGCGGCAGTCCTTTAATCCCCGTTTCGCTGGGAAATAATATCAAACGACGCGCCGTCGCGAAAAATCCAACGAATTTTCATCTCGAACAACACAGAGTACTACCTGCGTGCGCGCATAATTCCGCGGAGGTAATGCGCGCTTGATCGATCCCAATTACGGAAAAATCAGATTGATATCGATACCGTTCAGCCGAGGCGAGTTACACGGCGTTAAATTTCATCAACGGCTGTTCTCGATGACGATCCCGATGGCGGTGTGCATTCCACTTCGTGTCGGGTGCTAGTTACAGAGGGTGCGGCCGCGCGCCGCTGATCAATGCCCGCTCTCTCGTCGCGATAGAGAGAGGGGCGGGGGGGGAGGGGGGCCTCGATCTCTGCTTCGTCTGTTTGTAATGCAAACCCACGCGATATATTAAACGCATAGTCTCCTTTCGTTCAATCGCGCGCTTCTTTGATCTCGCCGTGATAATATTTATTCTGTATACGTTAATGCGCGGTCGACGCGCGCTCGTCAGTGCGCGCGTTTTCCACCGAAGGGGAACTCGTGATACGTCGGAAAGTACGGTGGCTCTTAATGTTTATATCGATATAAATGACTTACAAGTAATCAGACGCTTGTATTTGCGATAATTGCCGCGTGTCGTCGACATCTGCGCGTGTCTTTCTTCGAACAAACGACGAACTGTCACGACTTTCGCGCGGTGACCCTTTTTCATCGGGAACGAATGCGATTTATTTCTATATATGCATTTAGTAATATTGCTATTGCTAATAATGCTTCGTGAACGTTTGAATTGTGCGTACATAGAATTTAGAAATGATTTCGACCATAATGACATTATCATTCGTCACATATGAGAAATTTGGGAAAATGACGACCGCGATGATTGCAAAATCTGTTTCGAGGGAAGCAAATAATAACGAATCTTGCATGTAGCGTGCCGGCGCGATTTTATACTGTTCGGAACAATCGGAAGATCACATCGAACGAGTAGGTCCATCAAATTATTCTGCACTTTAAATCAAATATAATAAGTGCCAAAATATGCAGATAATTGTACTAATACAAGGAAATGAAAGAAATATAGAAGTACGTCTTCTTTAAAAAAGGAGTAATTTCAGTTTTAGTCAACTGCTTAAGTATCTATTATCCCTAGAAAGTATAAGCAATCTACTGTCCGTTAACCCTAATAAATTAAAATCTTTTCTAAGATTATTTTTCCACATCGGAAAGGACTCAATTAGATACTATTTTGATTAATTCTTGATCTACGAGCATGTGTATATATATGCCCTTATATGTTCAGTTAGCCAAAGTTTAACATGATTGAATCCAATTGGGCTTTCTCGCGTTAAATAATACATTTAAAGAAATAATCTCCAAATTTTTTTGAGCAGTTTGTTCGATGGACAGCACAAACAAATACACGCATGTATCTAAAGATCTACCAAGTACTGAGTGAATCACATTGATCCCAACATAATTTTGAAAACATCCACCGCCTTAAATTTTGATATTAATTTTTCTGACTCACTGAACATTACGAGTTCAGCTGAAAAATATAGTTTCGCCGATTAGATATGTGGATTACCGAGCAGGTTGCCGAGAAAAACGTACGTGGATACAGACGTGTTAATCGTTGTAACTCGATTTCTCTCCCGGGAGCTATGTCTCGGTTCTCGATCACGCAAAGAGTTAAATGCAAGAATACGGAAAGTTGGTAAAGCTATCCTCGAGCCGACTCTGCTCAGCCGGAACCGACTCCTCCGGTACAACTCCGCGTCATCCTCTGCAAATTGCGCCCCCGAGAACCGTACTCATCGCGTGGTCACACAAGCTTTGGCAGATCTAGAACGAACGGTGTATTTTCTGATTAGTTGTATCAATAGTGACCGTGTCTCAAAATTGCGAAAACCGGAGACAGAATGTTTCTCTTTCAAACTGATCAAAATGCAAAATGCTGCCAATGCGTCAGATGTAGTACTATAATCGCGTGCATATTCATGCGCGTGAATATAATGCACAACGTACACGCACGAATATAATATATAACTCGCCTCAAATGCACTTGAAGTTTATCGAAAAATCAGAAATCACGCGCGTCCTGATCCATTCACATTCGCGTCGAGGACTTTTATAATCGATTAGTTCGTCGCGTACTTACTGTCGAATAGTTATCGTGGATTTGTATTTTGCAGATAATCACGTTTATTCCAAACGTGGTCGCGATACTCTGTATGTAAAAAAAGACGCGGAACAGCCGACTGACTAACTGTACCTAACGAAACATCTAAACTTGAAAATAAACATGTATACGAGCGGCAGATTTAAATACAACTGAAACAGAAATAATCTAAATCTCTTCAAGAAATTTACATATTTACGTTGAAGTATATGAAGCGTACAAGATTCTCATGCTTTAGTTGCGTACATTTCTTGAACTAGTGCCGATTCAGCTAAAAAGAACAGATCAGTTATTAGCTGTGCGACATTCGAATATCGATTCTATTTCCCTTAATATCAATTGCAATTTTTTTTATGTATTGGATATCAAGAATAAGCTACCAAATGTTACAATTTGTTGAAACCATTGTATCGATCTGCATATATCAATTTATAATATTTAATTTCCTCTCTCAATATTTAACTGCCATGATACACACTTTATGTCGAAGTATCAAAAAATATTATAAATACTTCAATTCACAATAAGATGATCAATCAACATCGCGCGAAAATAACAATAGTGAGTTTATACATCTTTTGTAATATATACGAAAAACAATTTAGTACCAATTCAAGACTCATATTCTCATATATAAGCAAGGATATATTATCTTACATGAAGATAAAACTTAAATGAAGAAATTCTAAAGTTCCACAAAAATATTATTATCATATATATTTTTATTATTCTAGAATAATTTGTATGAATCGAAAGAGAGAGGGGAAAATATTGGATAGAAAGAACGATATTTTCAAACTGATACAATTTTTCGCCTGAAAATATCGTTTTCTCTATCCAATATCTTTTCTTCTCAAGTCATGAAAACTTTTCTTAAATAATAAGAGAATATTTTTAGTTTTTAGGAACTAGAATTTCGTATATAAAAAATAGTTTTATCTTCATGTAAGATTATATATTCTTATTTATATACGACAGAATATGAATTTTGATTTGATAATAATTTTTTTCCATGTAGGAATATGAATGGTGTCGTTAATTTTAAAATAGCCAACCTTGTGAGAAGAAAAGGGTTCGGAGCAAATTTCCTCGGAAATTTCCTATGAAAACTTGCTCGCGGGCGAATTACGTAATTAAATGTAACTGACAAATGAAACCTTCGTACGACCATGCGGAATGTAACACACGGATTCTCGGTTGAGAGGAGAACCGTGTCAGAAAAGTTCGCGACGCCACGAGATTCATGCGCGTCCGTTATGCACAAATACGGAAACATCGTCCGCGCGCCGCTCGTTACCGGTGTAACCCTTTTTCGACGATCTCGCCGCGATAAATTGAACGTCATTACTTAGTGACCGTTAAATTGGTCATGCCGCCGGCTAATGAAAGATTAAACGCGTTATGGTGCCGTTAATCGCGGGTGTGAGATGCGGCAGGTTTATTCTATGCCCGACGTCCGCGCATTAATTCGCGCGGTGGCTCGATTATCGAAACGAGCGAAATGCGCGCGTAAGAACGGAAAAGAACGACCGACGTGTGGCGCGTTCGACATGGAGAAAAAGTCCGTGGCGAGAGTACGTGCACGTAAGATGGCTCGGATCTGCGATGATTCCACGTAAAAGTTACGTTCTGTACGACGGGATGGGCCGGGATTCGAGCAAAAGCGAGCGATGTAATAATTGTCTCGTTATACGGTCGAACGGAGAGAGAGAGAGGAAAAATGGTTCGATGACGACGATCGTTTCGAACAAACCAGAAGTGTGGCATGCCGTATTGTTCGTTTTGCTTTTTGTTACAGGTCTCTCGAGAGCACCAATGTACCCGTTCTCGACGAGCCAGTACCCGTATCCCATGCTTAGTCCGGAAATGACGCAAGTCGCCGCTACGTGGTAAGTCGACGCGGACTCTCGGACGACGGTTCGAGGAAGTCGTGGTAAAAAATGTTTTTTTGTTCGCCCCTTTGACCGTCGTTGCGCGAATCGACTGAAGGGAGGTCTCTCCCCGCTTAGGTAACGTGTAGAGAGAGAGAGAGAGAGAGAGAGAGAGAGAGAGAGAAGAGAGCTTCGATTCAACGTGGTAATAATTATATCCATGCCGTCCTGTAATTGGCTGCATTATACGCGCGCGCGTTACAATAATATAATATTACTTGAATTTCAATCGAACCCACACACACACACACGATGTGTCTGGGATCAGAGCGGGCGGTATTCAATTTCGCGAGATAAACGCGCGCGGCGGCGGCGGTCGTGCGCACAGCAAGAATCATTTTACATTTCCAGATACTCGTTATATCGCATTTTGTATATTAATTGCGCATATTAAACGATCGATCCGCGCGCGTCACACGGCGTGACACGAGTGAAAAGTCGTGTGGAGAGCGTCGGATTCCGATGCGCCCGGTTCTTGACGATTTTCACGAATGGAATTGTCCATCCGCGCCACTCGAAACGCGTGAATCGCACAAAGCGACGTTAAATATTTATAAGTATATTAGAAAATCGCGAAAGAGATGAGAGAGAAAAAGAGAGAGAGAGAGAGAGAGAGAAAACATATCGTTCGCTCTCGCGCCCCTCTCTCGATCTCGGGCGTTCTCGTTTTTTCCTCCTTCCTTTAACGAAAATCCCGCGTCTTCCCTTTTAACGTTAAAGCGCGCGTATTTGCATGATAAACGGTCGCCGGGGTTTCCCCGACTCGAGATATGGCCGTTTGTCTCGTTAATTCCCTCCCTCGTTACTAACGATTCCCGAACGGCTCACCCGGGGTCGCGGATAAAGCCGACTTTTATTGGCGATTTCCGTTTCTTTTCTCTCGCATCTTTCTCTCTTCCTCCCCATTACTTTCTTTCTCCCTCCCTCGCGATGTCTACCGTCGAGGTATCGAGGAGGATCGTTGAAGTAAGGAGACGCGCGGCGCGGCCGGGTAATCTCGACACATTCGCATTCAAGTCCGGTTCTGCGAGAAAATCTGAACACCGAGTGAGGGGGTGTGCGAGGAGGAGTATGTGTGCGCGAATATATATATATGTGCGTGTCAGGCGCTTTGGCCAGGCGTTTGGTCATCCCGTCAGTTCCGGTCTATTAGGTCGGATACGAAAGCTCTCGTGTTCCGTCACCCTCTTTTCGCGAGGACACGGATCCTCGCGAATCCATCGGGTCTTTTCGGAGGAGACTCCGGAGGAATCTCCGTCCGTTTCCCCCTCCGGCTCGTTATTTGCTTTCCGCCCGAGTCGGCCCAAATTGCGATTTTCCACGGGTGATTAGGCGCTCCTTCTTTTCAATTAGAAGGACCCACTCGATGCCCTCCTCGCTCGACGACGAGGCTCTCGCGCCTCCGGCAGGCGTGTCATACGGTATTCAGCTTTCGCGGTTTTCGAGGGATGGCCCGTCCTCGAAGAGAAGGAGGAAGAGGGTTGTCGGCACGGAGGACCACTCGCGATAATGAGAAGTTCGCGGCGGCGTTTTTATTAGGCGAAGTAGTGCGCGCGCCGAGCTCTGTTCTCCCAACAACGCGGAATGCGAGCAGAGCGGCGTTCGCGAAGGAGAGCGAGGACTAATTACCGTTACGACTCGGCGGTCCGTGGCAATGTTGATGATAATTAACTGCGTCCAAAGCGCGTCCAAGTTGGCAGAACGCAAATATGCCAAACGTGTTCTCTCCTCTGCTTCCGTCGAGTTACTCGCGACATCTTGCACCTCCGGTCGGAGAAGGGTCTTGCTTTCGCGGAATCGACGTTTGTTAGCTCGGAGCGTATCGTAATTGCTGTCAACGATACTCTGATCAATCGTATTAGGAAAATGACGGAAACATGATGACATTAGCACACACTGCCAACTGCGCGAGTTGTAAAGCCTTCTCATCGGACTTTGAAAACGATACATTTCGTAAACAGTACGTAAGAACATATCTTGATCAGAATTCTTGTAATTCTTGTAACACAACAGTTAATATAATCGACTACTCGTATAAAAAGGACAATGAATTAAATGGACCGATTTCGACCGCCAGTGGCAAGTAAAGACGGTTTCTTTTTTTAATAATATTTTTTTAATAATGTTTTTTTGTAATTTTTGAACGGTTGAATCTGATTGTGATATTTGAACAGTTTTAATTTATCGGAAAAGTATTAAAATCAGCATATAAAGCTATTAAATATCTATAAATTATTATTGTTGACGAACGTATTCATTCGTGTTTTCCTGCTGATAAAACACAATAATGCTCTCATCTCTAATAGTTCATATTCTGGTCGACGCACTTTACAGTAGAATCTCTTTATGGTCACACCCTCAGAGTTGAAATGAAATGTTGAAAAAGACATATTACTTATCCTGCGAAAACCAAAGCCGCTGTTGTCCGAGCTAAATAAATATTTTATTACAATTATAAATAAAAGACGTATCGGCCCATTGCAAACCTTCTTCAATTACGAATAAATAAAAATCGTCGCCAGTTTTTTCAAAAATTTTTTCCGGTTTCTATTTTATACTACGGTTGAATAAAATATATAAAATTCAAAATATTTGCACTTTGCAAGTATGCACACATATACGCTAGAAGCGCTCTCACTTTTCCTCTCTTTCTTTCTGTTAAGTATAGTAACATTAAAAATACAACCCCGTTTATCAACCTAATCTAATATTCGATCAAACTGTCATTCGACTTTGGCGATGACAGTTGCACGCGATACGAAGCGAGTCGCAGCGCATAGCCGATCAGAATTACGAAAAAGAGACTTCATCCCATATTTGCGATAAGAATGGAATCCCCAATTGATATCGTAGCGGGATCATCATTTTCGGGGTAACTTTCAAGGTTTTTCTACAATGACCGGAGGAATATGACTGTAAGTCTGCAAGACGAGATCGTAAGATACTTCCGGTGTGATAAGCTGTAACGTAAGCCGTAAGCGAAATAAATTATTTTCATTTCTCACACCTTACGACTTTACGTCGACCAATCGAAACAAAGGAGATCACTAAAGCTATAACCTTCTCCTTCCTGATTGGCCCGCTTCACGATAAGCTATTGCAACACCGTTTTAAGAACGTTAAATTCTACGATCTCCGGATGAATACTACAGTCATATTGTAGACCGGCCTTTAGTATTCTAATCGGAATCTGTGCTGTACATAAGAAAATCTCGGGTAATTTCCATGCAGGCGAAGGCATCGTGTAAATACAGCACGGTCGACCTCGCGCGTTGCTTCGCGCGCGTGCACATGGCGCTTCCGTGTCTCGATGAAACCTAAAAACAAAACTGAAAATAATAGTTTTTTTTTCCCCCTGAAATCCTCAAGAGTTCAAGTTGATCGGTCGGTCATCGAGGAAAGAATAGATCTACCCGATCTCGGTTGGCGAATTCTCCATTCAGATTTGACGAAAGCTTTCTCACCTTTCATATATTTTCCCCCTTTACTTTTTCTCCTCACTCGCATCGTTACTTCTGGAAATTCCGCTTCCACGTTCCGACTTTTCTCTGCCAGGTGCGGACGATAACGAGCGATAATAAAACCTTACGGCGTGGTATCACGGACGTGCGTCGCATCCTCGTCGCCGTAACTCTCGCCGCAAACCTCGGGCGATCGGCCGAAACGAGCGAACCGATCGATTCGCCGGGAAATCTTTCGCGCGCGACACTTAGCGAGACGACGGGGCGCGCCTAATGACGGCGATAAAAGCGACGAATGAATATTTTACAGGCACACGCCGAGCATGTACCCCATCTCGCCGGCGAACGCCGGCTTCCGAAGTCCGTATCCCACGAGTTTACCCATCACCAGTTCCAGTTTATCAAGGTCAGTGGAACGCGCACGCAGCCTCGATTATTATCGACGCCGGCGGCGAAACGATTAACCTCGCTCGTCGACTGATCTTACGTTTGTTTCGACTTTTCCAGTGATCTCTACCGGTTTTCGCCGACCGGCCTGATGCCCCCACACCCAGGACTGAGTCCGCACGCACACGCACTGGCGTCGCACGCGCTGGTGTCCTCGGCGCCGAAGGCGGATCACTCCACCCTGGATCACAATCACAGGTTCGTTGCTCGTCCCCTTCGGGAACAAGTCTCTCCCCCGGTATCGCTGGCGACATCTGAACATCCGTCGGCAAAGCCCCACAGCATCGATTATTCCCGTGCCGTTTCCGATATCCGATATCCCTATAGTACCTACCGCCCTATCGTCCTTTCGCTCGGCCCGCGGTAAATACCGCGACGATGGCAGGTGCGAGGACGAATTTTTACGACGATCGGAAAGTTCGTCCTTTCAGGGATGCGCTTACGATCGTCGTCGTCGTCGAACGCGCGAAGGCCCCGAAGCGTTTAAAGCGGTGACTTACGAGCTATCACCGCTCGCGCTAACGATCTAACGGTCAATTGCCGTGACGACGGCCATCGTGTCCGATGTGATCGAAGAGAGGAGAGGAAAGTGGAGAGAGAAACATGCGGTGGAAGGAGAGTGGGAGAGAGAAAGAGGCGCCGGTATAATCTTCGGAGAACGATACGGCATAAACTTTCAACGGGCAATTAAAGAACTCGTCGACGAGCCCGGCTCGCCGCCACGACGGTTTTATCTGCCATCGTGCTCGCAGGTACCGCCGTCGATTAATTATACGCCGGGGACACGATTAATTTAGAATACGGCTCGTCGCGCCTTTTACTCGCGCGCTAAACGACCTTACGGCGATCGTCGTCCGCGGGATCGGTAAAACCGAGCCACTGACGTGACTCCGAGAGAAGAAAAGATCGTCGTTTAGGAAGCGAGAGAGAAACTGAAAGAATGACACAGTTCTTGACGATGATCGCAACCTGTGACTTCTTTTTATCGTTCAACGAAACGTCGTGTAACTCCGCATCGGAGGGTATCGTATTAGAGAGTGACGGGAGTGCGATTTCAAGGTGGAAATTATCACGGACGCTCCGACGATTAGTCACGAAGATGCATCGCGACGATCGATCACCGAAGAGCCATTCATCGGCAATCGACGGTTCATCGAGCCGAGAGAAAGACCGTCGTCGGGCGAATCAGCGTTATCCACCAACGGACAACCGTCCTGGCCCTTCGGCGTCACCGATCGGACGGCGTTTGCCCACGAGGACCTTCCTGACCACCTCATGATCGCATGCCGATTCAGCCGTCTACCACCCCGCAGTGAGAGAGAGAGAGAAAGAGTGAGGAGAAGAGGAAGGCAGGAAGAATGCTCGGCGATCGATAATAACATTCCGACGGCCGAATAGCGCTGACAGCTGCAAGACAGGCCGGTGTACTACCAGCGCAGCGCGCGCGTCTGCTGATAAGGAAGCGTCGGCTCGACGCTTCGCCGAGGGTGAGAGACGGATAGTTGCGGCGCGACGACCGTAGGGGGTAGCACGTCCCGACTACCTCTGGCGCGGCACGTCGGCGAACCCCCTCGTCGTCACGCTCTTCCCTTTCTCCCCTTCGAGTCGACGGGAGAGCACGTATAACACTTATCGAATGACTCTCTCTCTCTCTCTCCGCACAGCGTCTGCGCCTGCTACCCTGACGCCGCCGCCGCTGCTGCTGCCGCCGACGCCGCCGCCAGTTATGTATTGATCATTACCCTCTTAAACAGATTTCTAATTTACATTAGTACCCGAGCGATCGCCCGCCCCGCACCCGCGTATACAAGGGCGCGTGGTCGCGCGATACGCCGTGCTTTTCTCTCTGTCGCACGACGTATATTACGCTGCGCGCAAGTGCGAGGCCGTCATGGAGGACCAGCTGACGCGCGATCCTCCGGTCCATCGGTGACGCCACGAGACTCGTAGCAGCGAGAGAGCGAGATACGGGACGTGTTGACGCGCGCTTTGCACCTCGGGGATCGCGTCGTTGACGCCGAGTGATACACGGGAGAGCATCCGGCCGACGGTCCGTGGCGAATCGGTGGTCTCCCTTCGCTGCCGATCTACGTGCGAGCACGCTGCGCGACGAGAGACGTTGTGACTCGCCCGAAGGTTTACGAAGGAAATCTGAGACCTTCCGTCGAGATTCCCTTTCTCCCGGCTTGAATCGGAAACGATCGGCGCGCAAGTGCGGAAAGATTTCTCCAAGAGGGTGTCGCTCGGTAACGCGGCAGGAACGCCGCTATCTCTAGAGGCGAGCGAGTTCCTTCTTCGAGGGAGGGACGGTGACCGTTGGCGGTCGGTTGTCTCGCAACAACAATTCCCCGACCTGCCGGCTCGCCGCATCGCTCGCGAGTGGCAGAGGACAACCCCCGGGTTGACCGCTGGTCGACAGCAGCGCCGCGGCAGCCCGCCAAAAAAGGAAGAGTCGCAGCGGCACGCAGCAGGAGAGAGGAAGGCCACGGAGAATGCGATATTCGCGTCGTCCCCCCACGCTTCCGGAATTGTAGACCGGCGGATATGGTAGGGTCTCTCTGGTCGCTGCTGCGTGAGAAAGACAGAGAGCGAGGGAGAGAGAGAGAGCCATGAATCGTGATGATGCCACCCCACGGTGCCACCCTCGCACCCACCGCCCCCTCGCGCGCAACCCCCGGCCGCCCCCAGACTCGCCGATAATCAATCGTCGTAACACCGGTCGGTGGTGATTCCGCTGACGCCAGGAACGAACGCGTTTGAGACACGGCGCGGAAGGTGGGAGGGTATAAACGTACGGAGGGACCGAGAGACAAAATCCGCGACGGGACGCGCGAACGGGCGAGACCCGGTGGGAAACATACGGCGGAATAAGAGGTGTCGACGTGTATCATCGGGCGAGAGGGAAAGCGCGAAAGGAGAGATAGAGAGAGAGAGAGAGAGATTTTCGTGGCACGACAAACGTCACGGGGAATCGAGAAGAGGGTGCGTTTTCGCGACGATACAACGGAGCGAGCGCGCTATAGTCGTCGGCGTCGAGATAGACGGGGTGTTTGGTGGGTACGAGAGGGTTGGCGGCGGAGGGGGAGCAGGGGTGAGAGTAGTAAAGAGAGAAAGACAGATCGAGATAGAGAGAGAGAGGAAGAAAGAGAGAAAGAGATAGAGGCGGAAGAGAGAGATATGACGAATGGGTGACCGTGGGATGCCGCCCCTGGAGACATTTCACCGCACGAATCGCCGGGCGACGAAGTCGTCGCGTCAACGACTGGCGCTGCCGAAGCGGCGGCGGGCGCGGGCGGCCGTGTAAAATGTTGAACGCGCGATCAACGACGTGGCGGCGATGGTGCCATTAGGGAGCACGTCGATGCGGCCCCGCGACAGATACGTCGTACGTCACGGAGGCCTCCGGATGCGCGAGGCCGCCGCCGCCGCCAGTGTCTGGAGCCCGCGGACCACTGGCGTATAAGTGTCGTCGCGGTCGTGCGTCACCGCGTACGTGCTGTTTACAACGCTGACCGGTTTATGGGGCCCCGCTCGTTCGCCTAACGCGCGCTATAAGCGCGACACACGAGCGCGCGAGGATGTGAATGGAGTGTGTAAGAGCCGGAGCCGTGTGTATAATCGAGCCTCTTCCCAGCAGCCGGAAGCGCGCGATGTCGCCGACGGAGACGACGAGTAACGTGCGTTGTCGGCCGTGAGATGTGCGCGAATAAACGTACGGGATGACGACGAGGCTTCCTAGGCCCGGTGGATACTAGTGATCGCGAGTGATCGAGCGAAGGACGAGCTGCAGCTCCTTCGGCTCGAACACGAAACAGCGAGCAGACGCGCGCGCGCGCGTGTGTGTGTGTGTGTGTATACGGCGAGAGGATCACGACTACTCTCGGATCGATCGTTCATTGGATGGTCGATCCGGATCGTTTCTCCGTTGGGTGTAAGTCGAGGCGCGACGAATCCACGAGCAGCTCCATATGGCGATGGAGCCCGAGTGCCTGGAGCCGCTGAACTTGGTGATCAAGAAGGACGACACTGACAGCGGGCCGACGGTGATCAGGGAGAGGATCGTGGCGTCGATCGACGAGGAGAAGGCCGAGACGGTCGAGACCGCGATCGAGGATAACATGGCGCTGCTCCAGGACGCCGTAAAGTCCGCCGAGTCCGGCTTACCAACGGCTGATCACAAGCTGCTGACCGCGCTCTACATGAGCAGCCTCATGCAGATGTCGAGCTTGTCCGCGCCGCGCGGCATCACGCCGCCCCCCTACGGCGGCGGCGGCGGCGGTGGCGGCGGCGCCGTCAGCCAGCAGCAGCAGCAGAACTTCATGCAGCTGCTGGCGATGGTGGAGGCGCGACACCGCATGTGGCAGCAGATGAACTGGCCGTTGCCGCAGAGCTTCCTGAGGAGTCCGTTGACGCTACCGCCGCAGCCGCCTGGCGCGTACTTCGACGGCTCGACGACGACGACGACGACGAGCACGTCGCCGGCGGCGACGACGACGCCGCCGAACCTGACCGAGCAGCTGTGCAGCAACTCGCAGAACTCCGCGCCGACCTATCCCCTGTCCTCTTGCGCGAAAACCGATCCCCTCAACCCCGACGCCACCAAACAGTCCTACTTCGGCAAACGGTATACACACACACACATACACGTGATAATACACACGCAGACCGTATCGTCTGTGTCGGTCTGTTGTCAGTGTCGTAGGATGGCGCGAGACCCGAAATCCCGCACGCGCGATACTCACGCTCAGTATTATCCGTGTGTTGCAGGTCTACGATAGAACAGAAAAACTCGACGTCGTTGCCCACGGACAACGCGAAAGCCCAGGACACGGGTCAGCAGAACAATCAAGGTGAGGCGGCCGCGATCAGCGCGCCGGCGAACATATTAGCGATACTCTCTCGCGGGTAGTACGGATGAAATAATCGCGGTGGTGCTCGCTACTCGAGTACCGCCTCCGCCATTGCTCGATCGAGCTCTCATACCTTCGTGCTGTTTTGACAGATAAAAAGAAACCCCATATAAAAAAGCCTTTGAACGCATTTATGCTGTACATGAAGGAGATGAGGGCGAAGGTGGTAGCAGAATGTACCTTAAAAGAGAGTGCCGCAATCAACCAAATATTGGGAAGACGAGTGAGTAAACTTTATACTTGGGTATACCTGAGGCTTTGAGTGACGCGTCTTACATCAGAGTTGTCATCAGAGACAGGTTCGATTAATTAGCGTTCCGATCGGCGTCGCGACGTTTGTTGTGCGTCGCGAGACGAGCGTGTCATCCTCCGGATTGAATCCGGAGAAAATGCTCCGCTCGTATCTCGGAGTTGACGATACGAGTTAATTGTTTCGCTCTGATGTAAGAACGAGTACCGTAAGCGAGAGCCAGCGTTTTCTTTTGTGCGAGCGTAGCTCTTAAAATATCCGCGAGTATCGGAAAGTGATCGCCGTGAACTTGAGGTCCGAGACTCTTCCGACAAGTCGCACTGAAAGATTCATCGCTCCTGACGAATAAATTAGACCGCTTCTATTTCATTCTCTGCGTTGAATTGTATTTTTATCGGTCACATACACGATTGATATTCCGGTTCTCTGCATCATTTAAGCGCGATCGAGAGAGAAAGAGAGTGAAAGAAAGAGAGGAAACGCTGGCTCGTCGCTGCTACAGCGACTTTCATAGAGGAGTTTTCATTCTGAACATATTCACGATTACTGCATGCGTCTGTAAAAACGCTTTGTCGGGCTACCAATTGGAGAGCTAACTAACCGTACCTATTAGTATCTCAGTACGAATAGAACATTGTAGGTGGGATCTAAGGAAATCTCAGACTCGCCTGATTGATATAGAAAAAAAAACGCAGTGACACAGGGGAAGGGCCGAAGGGGTGGTTTTCGTTGGGTTACTCTCGGGACACGGCGAGTAGTCGTAAGACGTGTCCGCTTGCGTTGCGATATTACGGTAAATAAGTTATTAGAGAGATATCAGAGAGAGGGCGAGAGAGCGAGCGAACGGACGAACGAGTGAGCGAGCGAGCGAGCGAGCGAGAGAGGGAGGGAGAGGCAGAGGGAGGGTGGGCGGGTGGGTGGGAGAAAGAACAGG